GAGAAGAAATCCCACTTCTTTGTTCCAAATAAGAAAACAAATAACCAAACGATCGATAACCTCACCAACAACAGCGATTTTTGCACCAAAATTGGACAAAAGGCAGAAGAGTGTGGGCATTTTGCTCAATTCGAGTGTTTGCAAAATTTCATTTCAAAGTGAAAGTAATCGTGTCGCGGCTCGATTCATGCGTCAAAATCGACCGAATTAATTAATGAATTTACGAAAAATTCAAATTCAATTTGGTACTCTGCAAAACTAGACAAGACTCAAATCAAAATATCTACAACTTTTCTATTATACCGCCTTTTGTCCGGTTTACAGCCACTACATTTGGGAATGGCATAGCTGGGGAATTAATTACCATACAATAGTCGGAAAACAACACAACAAAATAACTAATTAGTTTTAATTTTAAATAGGGTCAAAATAGTAGAAAATAAAACAGACAACAACAAAAGCCCTGGCCGCGGATGTTTCGAACCAAATTTTAGCTGCCATTGTCTTTTTGGCCGGGAGAATACAGAAACAAAAACCGTTGGCTGGCTGCGTTCTGTTTTTATGGTTTTGAAATTTTTAGATTTTTAATACTCGCACTGCAATGATTTCAGTTCTGAGATTTTTTGTCTGCCCCCTCCCCATTCCACTAAACTGGCCAGCGTTGGCCGGTCGTTATTCCAAACCTGTGTCTAATGCATTGTTGCCTGGCCAAAGGGATGCCGGCAACGGGCCAGGGGAAAGTGGTTTAATCTCCAGTTTGAGATAAATGTTTTCTGTTGTCTGCCGGAGCTCAGCGCCAACGTTAACAACGACCACAACAATAGCTCAGCTTTGTTGTCTCGTCGTCATTAGAGTGTCGTGTCGTGACGCGTCGCATCGCATCGCCTCGCATAGCGATTTTTGTTTCCTACGCACAGCTCTGTCTAATACCTACACAAAGTTTGTTTCGTCGCCACAATCGGTTTTCAAATTTTTATTGATGTGTTTTTCGCCTTTTAAAGTTTGAAACAAGTTTTGAGTCTTTGTTGCTTTTAGTGTGTTTGCATACACACGTATGTGGTTGAGTGAGTTTGTATAGAAATGTGGTTGCGATGAGGTGTTTGGTATGATAAGTGTTAGAGATGGTTTGATAATTTGAAATCTGTTAAAGTGTCAGAAAATAGTAATGACATATTAGAGTGGCGAGAAAGATCAGAGGGTGTATTTTAGAATGTAGGGAGAAAGACATTTGCAAAGAATATATTTACAGCTGTGGAGTATTTTCACGAATTGCGGAGACGGAGTGGTTGACTATCATTTCACCGGTTATCCTTTAATTCAGTTACATCCCAAGATAAAATCGGGAGCATACCATGGGACGATACTTTCTAACTTTGACGGTAAATATGGCGTCTTAACTTCCCAGTTTAAAGCTTGATGCCAATTAACAAATTTGCAATCGAAGCCCTACAACACTGTGTGTTAGATAAGTTTGTTCGAAATATTGGTCCTATATATAGGATGTTATATATAGATCTTCTTATCTCGTCGAGCTGAACCGATCTAGCTATATATGTCCGTCCATATGTCCATATTAATTTGTAATCAAGCTACAGGTCGCAGTTATGGGCCGTCACGAAATTTAGCATGAAAATATGAGTTTATAGAAGTTTATTGTTTTTGGAGGGATTGAAATGGACCAAAAACAGAAACATTTACTGATTTTGCATTTTGATCGCAAATATAGACCAGTCGACGCGGAATTTAGTATGAGACTAGAGTTTTGGACTGGGTAGAAGTCTATCATTATACCCTCAGTCGTATGACTAGAGAGGGTATACATCATTTTATATGGTCAAAACGTGTCTAGGCGAAATTACGGGTTTTACTAGGTCTCTTTGTACCAAATCCGTTTCAGGACATTTGGAATCGATCTAGCGATGTCCGTCCGTCTGTCTGTGTGGCTGGGCGCACGATAACTCTTGAAGGGAGTGTCCGATTTGATCCAAACATGGCACATCGTAATATGATTATCAAACTTAGATCGAGTTTGGAGATGGGCAGTATCAGTCCACTCCTTCTGGTACCTCCCCCACAAAAGGTCGAAATTTAAAAAAAAATATATTTTCTGCATAGGAAGAGAAATGATAATCCCATTTTGCTCTAACTTTGCAAATCCTATATTTGTATCAGTGCTAGGTGAGGTGCGAAATCGGTTCACTCCAATGTGTACCTCCAACACAAAAGGTCAAAAGTTTGAAAAATTATTAATCTAATAAAATATGATGTAAGAGTTCCATTGTCTTCAAATTTCGCACATCACAATATTTTTATTAACCCAATGCGATTTCATGGTGTGACGATGGAATATATCGGTTCACTCTTTCTGGTACCTAGCGCACAAAGGGTCAAAATTCTGAATATCCATGGAGTTCATTAAAAGCAAAAATAAACATCCGATTCCATTCTGACTTTGCATATCTCAATATTTCTATCAACACAATTCATATTAATTTCAGGATTTCAATTCTATCCCTTCACCAAATTAAGTACTTTTTAGAACTTATCATACAATTATGGTGCACATTTCCAAAACCACCTTCATATCACAATACTAGACACCAACAGAGACCTCAATCTACATACTAGATCCAAAATTAGCACCATTTAATACTTTGCGAACAATAATAGTACGCGATTGCAAAACCACCCCCATATCTAAATTCCTGATACCAACAGTGACCTGAATATCAAATTTCAGGATTTCAGCTCTTTTCCTAAACCCAATACTAAATGTAGTAACATTAAATACAATTATAGTACGTATTTCCAAAACCAGCTATTTCACACAACTACGGAAGCCAATAATGACATCCGTATTAAATTTGAGGATTCCAATTGTATCCTTCGCCCAATACCCAATTTGGTACTATTTAGTACTTATCGTACAATTATTGTACACATTTCCAAAACCGCCTCCATACCTCAATACCAGATGCCAACAGAGACCTCAATCTACATCTCTCCATTCTAAACACCTACAGTGATCCAAAATTAACACCATTTAGTAATTTGCAAACAATCATAGTTCGCATTTGCAAACCATCTCCATATCCAAATTCCAGATACCAACAGTGACCTAAACACAAAATTCAGAATTTCAAATCTATCCCTTTATCCAGTACCAAATGTAGTTACATTTAGTACACTCAGCTACGGACATCAACAGTGACATCCATATTCAATTTCAGGATTCCAACTCTATCCCTTCACCCGATGCCCAATTTAGTACCATTTAGTACTTATCGTACAATTATTTTACACATTTCCAAAACCACCTCCAAATCTCAATACCAGATACCAATAGAGATCTTAATACAAATTTTGGGGATTTCAGCTTTATCCCTTCACCCAATTTAGTACCACATAATACTTTGAGAGCAATTATAGTACACATTTCCGAAACCACCTTCAAATGTCCAGGTTACACATGAACAGCTACCCTGATACCAGATTTCAAGCACTATTTGTTCAAGCAATATCAAATTGTACCAAATAAAGTACTATTTAGTACTTTCCGTGCACTTGTATTTCTCATTTCCAAAACAAACTCTTTATCACAAACCTACTACCAATAGAGATCCCAATACAAAATTTTAAAATTCCAGAAATTTAATACCATTTAGGACATTTCGAACCCTTAGTACACATTTCCAAGACCACATTCATGTGTCAAACTTACATTCCAACATTAATTCTCATACCAAATTTCAAGTTTTTAGCTCTATCCGTTCACATAATACCAAATGGTACCGTTTTAGTTGTGTAGTACTATTTTTGAACTTTTAGTAACCTTCAAGTTCGAATTTCCAAAAACCCATTGGTATATATATCCCGCACTCAATCAGTGACTCTCATTTCAAATTCTATTTAGCTCATTTTGTTTGTCCGCTACAAAGTATTCAATTTTTATGTATATGTAATTTATTACTTTTCGTACCCTTTTAGTACGGATTTCCAAAAAGGAAGCCTTATCACATGCCCACGCACCAAGACTGGTACTCGTCCAAATTTTTTAGATTCCAACTTCAGCAATTTCGTCTGGGCGTTTATTCTAGGCCAGTCAGTTAAATGCAGACAATTTTAAATGTGGACTTAATCGGGCCATTCGTTTCGAGAGTTGGCCTTATTCATATGTAGATCCCGGTTTCTAACGGTTTGATAGTTCTAGCTCCATTTTTTAACTGAATTGGCTTTAATTTGATGTTTTGGGTTGGTAAAGATTAAAATAACATCTCTCAAAAATATTCAATATTTGTAATAGTTTAGAAACATAGCTCATGCAATGGGATCTTAATTTTGTAGGAAGTTCTGATTTGGCTGTAATTTAAGTTTTAGCATTATCAAAGTTCAGAAAAAGATTTTAATTGCATATAGACGTATGATAAATATTTTCAACTTTATTGCTCATACGCAACATGATACGGGGGGATAATTTAAGGAAATAAGAAAAATCAATCATACGCCCTTTCATTCTTTTGACTCGATGACAATTTTTCTGAGATTTTTTCTCCGATCTTGGCATTTTCTATCTTCCCAAACATATTACACTCCCTCCCTTTGGCTTTCATGGAACTACAAATATTTAAAGCTAGCTTATACGCTCACGCGCTCTTCTAGTCGAAAGTAATTATTCCGGCGCTTATTCTATTGGAGGAGACCTGGCTTGAGTTGTGTGTTAGATGGTGATGATGATTTTTTAGCTGGAGTGAAGAGTAGGAGGATTGGTGGCAAACAAATTCAATTGTTTTTTTTTGTTTTCATTTGAGCCGAGCTGCTGCTCAAAACCCACTTGCAAGCTGAAGTCGCAGCGAGTCTGCAGCGGCGATGATAGCTGCTGAAAACGCAGAAAGAAAAAAACAGAATACAGGTTGAAAATAGCTCCAGCTGAACAAAAATGATCAGTTCAATTTTAGTGCTGGTACGCGACGGTCGATTACTCTTCCGAATATTAAGTAATTTGTAAAAAAAAAGAAAGAAACAAGAAGAAAAAAAAAAAACAAGAAGAAAAAAATAAAAGAATTCTAATTTTTTGTGAAAAGAAAAAAAGAAGAGGAAGAAGAAACAAGAGAATTAGAAACAAAACAACTCAAAGTTATAATTAATGACCCGAGTGAAGGCAACTACTACAACAACAACAGCACTGAAAGAGTATTAATGAAAATTTGAAATAGTTTTCTTTTGGAAATTAAATCAAGAGTGTGAGAAAAAGTGAGAGAGAGAGAGAGAAAATAAGAGTGAAAATTCCCATTTGAGAGCGGAAAAATCAAGCTAACATTATTTTGGCCCATCTTAGAAAAGAGTATTTTGAGCGAATTTCTGTGTTGTTTATGTGATAGAAGTTAGCATTTGTTGTTGCTTGGTTGTGTGTTTGTTGGTTTGTGTGTGTATTTGATTTTTCATTCGGTCGGTCGTTCGTGTCTGATTGTTAAGTTAACAAAACCAAATTATTAGTGTATTTTGTACCTTGATAGCGTTTTGGTTCCAACGACCGACCGACCGGGTACGTTATTAGCTAAGCGCTTATTTGTTGTTGTCATCATCGTCGTTGTCGTCGTCGTGGGTCTCGTATGTGATGATGTGTATCATTTGAATGCGTGTATGTGTGTTTGTATACGGTTCGGCTGTGACTAGTGAATAATATTTAAAAATAAAGCATTCCGACATTTGGCTGTGTTTTTTCGCATTTTTTTTGTGTATTTCCCTCAAAGTAATCAATAAAAAGAAATTATATTTTAAACAAACCTTCAAACGACAAAAGGCAACATCAGGCCAACGAATAGCTAAGCATTTAAGAATATTAATTTGATTTATTTTTTTGTGTTTTCTTTTTCTTCGAACGAAATTCTTTAGAGAATTAAACGAAATATAAAAAGTTTTTTAAACGAACTTGAAACGAAAAAGTGATATTTTTTAAAAAAGAAGAAGTTTTAATAAATTAACAAATTAAGAAAGCAATAAAAAAGGAATAACAAAATAAAAGTATTGGAATAATATTGATAATAAAAGAGAATAATAGAAAAAAAAATATATAAAACAGAATAATTGCCCAGTTGGAAAAGTTTTGAAAATTAGAGAAGCAGAACAACAATAACAAAATGGTCTCAAAAAACGCCAAAAAGAAGCAGCAACAGCAAACAACTAATGGCTCCTCAACATCATCATCATCCACATCAGCAACAACCGTGCAGACAGTTGGAAATCCTGGCACATCCTCCACCTCAAGGGGCGGCAGGTCGACACACAAGGATTTGCAGGCCTCAACGGCCGGCGATTTCTACGGCATATCGTCGGGCAGCAAAACCTACAAGGCATCGTCCAGTAAAAAATCATCTGCCATGACCAGCGAAACCAGTGTCATCAATGAAACCGGCCTAACCCAATCATCATCATTCTCCTCATCCCAGTATCACGCCGAGGCCATGGATGAATTTTCCTCCACAAGTGGAAAAATCATCTCATCCATTGATCTGGTCAGTGAGAGTGCCAGCCAAGAGCCCGTATTCTCGGTACCCATAGATGTGGTGGAAATCAGCAATACGGCAGCGGCCAATACCAAACAACAAATGTTCTCCAGCTCATCGAAAATGATGTCTTCGTCCTCCTCCAAATCTCAACAGATATCCTCTTCTTCAAGCTCCACAAAGGCTATTCTCTCCGCCGATGGCTTGGGGGATGGTGGCGGTCAGATTGTTGAGGTTGAGTTCCAACCCGAAACCGTGATCATTAAAGATGAATCAATGGCCACAAAACAAGCTTACCAGTCAATTGCCAAAACGATAAATGGTGCTACTGAAATGACATCATCATCGATGTTGTCAAGCCAGTTTAAGGCCAACGAGTCGGTTAATGGTCAGACCATAAATGAACAGAATCACTCCAACACAGAATATTCTTCGTATTCCACACCGAATTATAACAAACTGCCATCCATGGATGGTGGTAATACAATGCTCTTAAATTCACCCACAACCGGCGGGCAGCAGCCATATCAGGTCACCATGCCCATAACACCCACTACCTCGGATTCGAAGATAACTCAACAAGATTTACAGAGCACAACCAAGTCTTCCACAAATGAATTTATCAGCAGCAGCAGTAGTAGCAACATACAACAACAACATATAATTGATCACCAAATTAACACCAACAGCAACAATTATATTCTTGACAATAACAACAAAACTCAGAACATTACCAACAACAGCAATAATAAGGGACTGATAAGCAACAACAATAACACCTCCACCATTACATCTTCCACTACCACGAACAACACCAATGCCAACAAAAAGAAATCAACGAAATCCTCTACCAGCAGCAAGGAGATAACCGAATCCACCACTCAAGAGAGTTTGAGCAAGAAGAGCACCTCCGTCAACAAGAAAGAGATATACGACATCAAAACCAAAACATGGACTGAAATAAGCGACGATCTGAGCACGGCCGGCATCAACAAGAAGCAACCGTCGTACGAACGCTTCGTCAGCCATGGTCAGGATGGCACCTGTAAGGTGACTTACAAGAAGAAAATCTACGATCAACGCAACAATCGGTGGCGCGTCGTTGAAGAGAAAATCGTGGATAATGCCCACGACACTGGTTTCCCCGAAATAGCCGATGATGTCATTAATACAACACGTACCACATACACGACCAAAGTTTACGACTCTAAGCTCGGTCAGTGGAAGGTGGTCGACGAGAAGTCGTTTGTGGATACCAAAGCTTATGTACCGCAAGATATTGCTCGTGAAATTGAAAAAGATAATACAGATGTTGCCAATATTACGACAACAACGGAGATAACCAAGGTGAGTGCAAGAGAGAGAGAGAGATAGAGAGAGTTTGTTTTTAAGAGTTTTTTTTTAAGAGATTGGTGAGCAATTTTGAGTTTTTTTTTTAAGAGAAGTGTGGTAATATAAAATTATAGTTAGGCAAAGTGTGAAGTGAAATGAAATCTATAAAAAAATTAAATTAAAAACAACAGGGGTCACAGTGGCAGAGATTTTACCAAAATAAATACATAAATAAAATAAATAAAATAAAATATTTGTCCTAGATAATAATATCAAAAATTTTTCAAAAGGGATTTATTATACGCCAAAAGTCTAAATCTTACCTAAACGCTTCGAATTCATATATATCAAAAACATTTTAGGGTTAAATCAATACTTTTGTGAGTTTGCGCAACCGGACCAAAAGTGGTGTAATTTAAATATCTCTATCAAATTTAAAAGCTCTATCTTAAATATTGCGAAATACAGAGTGAGATTAAAAACTGCAACAAAGTCAAACCCCATAATTTTTACATTTTGTTGGTCATCAACTTTTACAATAAGTTTAGATTTGCTCGAATTTGTCACCTTTGACATGAATTATGGCCTTTAAACGGCCAATGAAACCGTCACACGCTGCCCGATTTTGGCTCTGTGTTATTTTGGCCCATTCTCGGCGAATCGCTTGCTTGAGGTGATAGACATTTTGGTATTTTTTAGTGTCAACCTTGCTTTCCAAAATACTCCAGACACAATGGTCCAATAAATTGGTATCCGGAGATTATGGTGGCCATTGTGCGCTGGAAACGAAGCGAGGAACCTCATTTTGTAACCATTCTTGGTTGGCTCGTGCGATGGTGTTGAGTCCTGTTGGAGTGTGCAAATTCTGCGGCCAAAATGTTTGCATTTATTCTGATGCCACTGTCGATTAATACGAGCGGAGAGCGACCTTCGGCTGTTATGGCGGCCCACACCATCACCATGGCCGGCGCTTGAGTTCTGGTGGCCAATCGAAGGTGCACATTTTCAGCTGACCTCTTTGGCAAGTAAACACGGTCATTTTGATTGTTTTCTCATCGGAGAAAACCAAATTCGGCCAAGCGAAGCAACTCTTTAGCTCTTTTGAGTCTATTTTCTTTCTGTTGCGGTGTAAGTTCTTACACTTTTGGGAATTTCAATGGCTTTTCGCCGAGCTCATTTTTCAATATTTGCCGAATGGAATATTGCGATATGTTCAGCTCACGAGCCATTTTTCTGGAGTGCTCTACTGATAGCCACTTGTGGTTTTCCAGCCAAATATAAATGAATCACACCATCACGCTTGAATTCCATCACGAATAAGTTTTTTTCTGGAAAATGCTTTTGTAAACAATATAATGAGCTGTTACTGGAATAATTTTAACAGCTGTCGGACGAGTGGCTTAGAAACGACAGCAATCTGAAGTTGGTTGCAGTTTTTTCATCTCACCCTGTATATATAGTTTTGATTGAGGGCAAAATGCGTTCAGGACGACTAAACTTATGTGCTTTTTTATGCCCATAATCATATGATAGGTATAAATTATTTTGTCATCAGTTTCTAAGACAACAACTTTTCTTTGGAAACTCAGAGATTAAAATTCTACGTCAATTAAACGATGTCCGTCTGTCTGCCCACCCGTCCCTTGAGATCATCATAGAGGTCCCATGATTTAAGATATATGTTTGTATCTTTGCATCGGCAGGTATATCACTCCCCCTTCAGATGTAGCCCTCAAATAATTCCACTATCTGACACTCGTCATTTTGCATGTTTCTTTCACTTTTCGACAGTTTTAATTTTTTGATAAGTTTTAATTTTTAGATTTGTGAAATATTTTCCGCGACAATTTTGGGGGTCCAAGTGAAAATAAAAATTGATTTTTCAAGCCAACTATTTAGAAAATGACTATCAATTTACCAGACTACTTTGGTGTGTTGGTTTTATATAACGTAAATCTTAATATCCGGCACTTCACTGATCTCAATCCAATCTTCCGACAAAATGGTCTGCAATTTTACTTTTGTATTGTTCGATAAAAGCTCACGTTTAGATTTAAGCTTTCCATGCATGTGATGTTGGATTCAGGATCGAATTCACAACTATCAAAGAATTGTGCACTGATTTGATTTTCTTCGATTTTTTCAAATAAATTGAGAAAAAATACTACAAAATGTGCAATTCCACATATAAAGTCAAATTGAAACAAATAAGCAAGTGCTATAGTCGTGCGGGGTGGATCATGTGATATCCCACATTACTATAAAATATTGTAAAACTGCCTTTAGGTGCAAACCCATTTTAGTCGATTTTTAATGTAAGAAGTAGTAATGTCATCTTCCAACCTTATGCAAAATTTCGTGTCGATTGGTTTTTAATTGTGACCTGTAGGAAGACTTTAAAATCAGGAAAATTTTAATTGTCTGGTCCAGTTGAACCCCTTAATATACATCTTCAAACACCTTCAGCCTTCTGAACCTTACTTAACCTCCATACTAAATTTTGTATTAAATCGCCAGAAAAAGAACGTATACCTTTGAATACCCTCCGCCATTTGGAACGAATTTGACAATTTTCAAAAAATAAAATCCTTTAAAAATTCTGTAAAAATCTTAAAAATACCAAATGTAGCCCTTATATTAGGGTCTATACGACGACATGAACCTGTAAAGGCAACTTATGTCATAAGCCATTACAATATTCAAATTCGAAACTTGAATAAAATATTCGGTAAATAATGTAGCTAAAATCATCAAAATACCGAATATAGGGAGGTACCATTATATGAGGGCTATAACAAAACGTGAACCTGCACAGACAATTTTCTGTCTTAGACTGTGGTATCCGTTATGAACTTCAAATACCAAATTTAAAACGTTTTCGGTGAATAATATCGACAAAATTATCAAAATACCCAATATTGGGAGGTACCGTTTTAGAAGACGTGGCCCTGCGCGGACAATTTTCTGTCATAGGCTGTAGTATTCTTTACGAACTTCAAATACCAAGTTTGAAAAATTTCCGATGAATAATGTCGCCAAAATCATCAAAATACCGAATATCGGAAGGTACCATTATATGGGGGCTATTCCTAAACGTGGACCTGCATGTCCATTTTTAATACCAAAAGTCCTACAGAAATAATAAACATTTGAGTAAAATTTTAGTTCGGAAGTTAGAGTGATTTCGACAGATGGACGGACAACGCTATATCGACATAGAATTTTATGCTGATCAAGAATATATATAAAATGTATATTTCGAGGTGTTACAAACGGAAAGACAAACTTGTATGGAGGGTATAAAAACGTAAACTATTATAGCTAGATATATTGTTTACACTAAGATTTATAATGAAATTTTGTATAGAATATTTCTTCTTTTTGCCTAAAACGAAATTTTATGTTATGTTCATGCATCAACTCGAAAAAAGGCAGAGTATCATTTTTATAAAAAAAAAGTAAAAAAAAACATTAAGTTAGGCCGAGCCGAACTTTTAATACCCTCAACAATTGGATAAAGAAAACATTTTTATATAAAAAAATCTGAATTCAAACGTTTTCCACTTCGAACTACAAATACCTGTGAATGGTTTGGATAATGCTGTTAAACATTTCAAAAAAACCATAAAGTGGGTGAGGCCGTTATATGGGTGCTATACAAAAATGTGGACATATACATGCAATATCTCGCCATCGGAGATAGAATCCATTATGACATACAAATTCGAATTTTTTACAAATTTTTACCAATTTTTAGAAAAATTCGTGGAAAATTTGGCAAAAATCACCAATATACCTAATATCGGGAGGTATCATTGTATGGGGCTATCGTGTTTTCAACAGACAGACGGCTATCGTCAAGTCGACTTAGAATTTTTTGTCTATTTTCCCGTCTAATGATTTCTTGGTATTTTTGAAACTTTGGCGTTCTTGCTCTCCTAAAGTTGTTATTTGAGGAAAAAATACTTGTTGAGAAATCATTTAATAATGTGCCTTCTCTAAACAGTAGCATAATAAACTATTTCGCATCTCGCATAGTTTAAGATTAACCGATATTTCCCTGTTCACAAAACTACAAAAACGTCTGACCTAAGATAACAAACGAGTTTGTCTCCAGTAATTTCATTCAATTTAATTTTTTTACCTTTTTGTTAACAATGATTTTTTCATATTAGCAATTTAGTGGTAATAAGAATTAGAATAATCTTATTTTAGTTTCTAAATGTATAAGATATGCTATTTGCAATTCAGTCGGCATAAACTATAAATTAACTTAAATCCGATAAAAATATTTCTAAACATTTGTTTAGTTTAGAAACAAGTGATGTGAAAATTTAGAAATTTTATAAAAATTGCTAGCCAAAAACAAAACACAAGTTTTCCAAATAAAATAAATATTTCCCTCATCGTACATAAATAAAAAATGTTAATTGATTGATTTATTTAAACAGAAAATGTAAATGGTGTTTTTTGACTATAATATATAATTGCGGTAATATTTAGAGGGTAATTACAAAAAAAATCTTAACTAGATCGCAACATTGTGAGTTGTCTGATAAAAAAATATAAATTATTCCATTTTGTTTTTTATGGATTTTTCTTTGGCCTTTCTCTGGGTCGATTCGTTAAAACAAAATAAAACTTCATTTTAGACAGGGGAAATAATGTAAACACATTTATTTTTCCAGCATCACATTACCAATTGATGTGCTTCCTCAGCACATTTTGACACCATCGACTAACTCTTTATTTTTACATGGACCTGTCATGGACCAAAAGCCAATAAAACAGTAAAAAACGTACTAGAATAACAAGTAAAAAGACGTTAATTTCGGCCGGGCCGAACTTCTAACACCCTCCATCGGTTTTTTCCAAAATTACCTGGAATCAAACGTGTTCGACTTTTAACTACAAACTCCAGTAAGATAGGTAGGAGCAAACAGTGAGATTTTTCAAAAACAAATATAAGGGTTGGAGCCGTTATATAAGGGCCATACAATTGTATACTATAACGATTGTAATATATTGCTAGTCTTAAATACCAAATCTGACATCATTTCGTGGGTACATTTGACTAGGATTATCAAACTTGGTCTATATATCCAATATAAAATACCAATCCATTGTTGGGAAACCGTTGACCAATATGGACAATATTTTAACACCGGCCGTAGAAGCCATACCGTCATATATACCGTTATGTGCGCTATAGGAAAACTTGGACCTAGATATTCAGGGCTCGTACTCATTACGAACTACAATTATCTTTTTCTGAAGAAAAATGATCAAAATACCGAATATCGGAAGGTACCCTTAAATGCGTGCCATACGAAAATGTGGACCTATATATCCCTTGTTCTGTCACCGGAGCTAGAACCCATTACGAACCACAAATACTTATTTATAGATGAATCCTTGGAAAATTTGGCCAAAAATCATCAAAATACCGAATTTTGGGAACTACCGTTATATGGGGAATATACACCACTGTTTTATAGACTCCATATAACCTATATCACCCTTGTTCTGCCATCGGAGCTAGAATCCATTACAAACTACAAATACCAATTTTTAGACAAATCTATGGAAAAATGTGGCTAGAACCATTGAATCACCATATATCGGGGGGGTTCCGTTATTTGGGGGCTATACGAAAACGTGGATCTATATGTACAATGTTCTGCCACTGGAGCTAGAACCCATAACGGTCTGAAAATACCAATTTTTTAAGAAGTTGGTGAAAAAATGGGGCTAAAACATCAATATACCGAATATTGGGAACTACTACTCCCAAGGTGGAGGGTATAATGAATTAAAATTTGTATTCATTTTTATCACTTTTTATATCAATTTTTTTGAAATATTTAGTATGATTGGTATTGGTATTGGTACTGTATTTTTTTGCAGCTACTTCGTCGGCAAAAATTCCACCTTAAATTTTAAATTAGTTCTAACAGTTGGTATTAGGCAGTTTTTGTACTCAAAATGCAGACAGAATAATAGAAACAGATATTAGTAAAACCATTGCTCTATCCTTTCACCCAATACCAAATTTAGTAACATTAAGTACGAATATCCACTACAGCCTACATCTCTCGATCCTAGAACCAACAGTAATTCAAAAGTCCTTTTCAAGCAAATATAGAGTACCCACCTCCTGATCTCAACCTCAGATACCGCCAGTAATCTAAATATCAAATTTCCGAATTTTATCTATATCCCTTCAACTAAGACCACATTTAGTACAATTTATTACTTTCCACTTCCAAAACCACCTCCACATGTCAAGGCTACACATGAACAGCGACCCTAATACAAAATTACAAATTGCAAGCACTATTCAACCAAATATCAAATTTAGTACTATTTAGTATTTTTCGTTGAAATTTAGGACACTTTTCCAAACCACCGCAAATTTTTAACCACAGACATCAAACCTTGACCTTCAAACCTTGACCTACTGCTTTATATTTTTTAATGCCGTTGTTTTATTTTTAAATAAATAAATGTATTGAAAAAGGAACAAATACAAATATGTGGAAAACATTGTCACTAATTAGTACCAACTGTAGCTGGTTCTATGCACAATATCCAACGGTCCATAGCAATATTCAGTCTCTGGGAATTGTTCTCTTCTGGCTTAGCATAATCAATAATGGTTTGGTTGGACACTCACACACGAATACACTGTTAGAATGATCTCTAAATCCATTTCGAACAACTTGTACAATTCGTACTCTTTAAGTACTTCTACTTGCAAGTAATATCGAGCAAATCCTATCTTAAATATAAAATAATTTATGCTATCTAATTTGTAATGGCAAGCCATTCCTTTATTGCTAATGGGTTTTCATTTGCTCATTTCAGATTTATGATGCAAGCATCAATGACTGGCGCGTTTTGGATGAGAAGACACGCACAGATGTCATTGAGAAGATTGTTGAGGCACCGAAAAAGACCGTTTACATCGATGAATTTGTGGAGATCGAAAAGAATTCTAAAATTTTGGAGGAAAATGAAAATATGGAATACAATTTGAATAAGACTTCCAAACGTAAGGATATTACCGAGAATATCTACGATGAAACGGACGAAAGGCTACAGATCGTCAATAAGAATAAGAAGACAATCGATTCACGAAAAGTAAGTTGGCAGGACAACTCAAACTCAAACCATCATACAAACGAACAAGCCAATCTTATTTCTCATTTATTCTATTCTCTTAGGATGGAGTCGACAAAACATGGAAAAGCACACACACTGAAATGTGCATCTGTGAGATCTGTACTTGTGGGTAAGTAAGGAGAAGAGCAGACATTTATCACAACTGTATTCTCTCTACAATGTAATGTTTGTTATTGTTACAGGCGTCATCATTGCACAACCAGTGATACAACAAAAACAACCAAAACCGATTCTCTAACTGAATCTGTGGGTAAGCTCAACTCTTAATTAGCCCAACAAAGTTTTCTTTACTAATATAATGTTCTCTCCCATCGCTCTCAGACATGGTTGACAATGTTGAGACCAGAATACGCACCAATACATGGTCAAAGGATGACTATGAGAATAATGAATCTCTTACCACAATCAGAAAAGGTCCCAAGGACTCTCCCAAGCCACTGCCAGAAGGACCACGCGATCGCTATACGGATCGTTTGACCCAGGATACGACTATTCTTGAGAATGAAGAATACGAATATATCGTTAGAACTCAACCAGTGCGACCACATGACAATCTGAAGCCTGAAGGTGACTTTTACAAGCCGGAAAAAGAGGAATTCCGACCATCCGAGAGGCCTGCTCCCATTAAGCCAGGTGATAATCTAAAGCCTGAAGGCGAGTTCTATACACCAGAAAAGCCGGGCTTTAGGCCAGCCGAAAGACCCAAACAGAAGAAGCCTGAAGACAATCTCAAGCCGGAAGGAGAATTCTATGCACCCGACAAACCAGGTTATCGTCCTGCTGATCGTGTCGAACGAGTAGTTCATACCGATAATCTTCGTACTGAAGGTGAAATGACCTTCGTGGAGAAGGAAGAATATAAATATGTAACCAGACCAGAACCAGTTTTGAGACCAGATAATTTGAAACCGGAGGGTGAATTTTATACTCCCGAAAAACCGGGCTATAAGCCGGCAGAGAGGCCCCAACAAAAGAAGCCTGAAGACAACCTGAAACCAGAAGGTGATTTCTATACCCCAGAAAAGGAGAAATATAAACCCGGCGAGCGTCCTTCTCAGGTACGTCCTGAGGACAATCTACGTCCCGAGGGCGAATTCTATACTCCAGAGAAACCTGGCTTCAGGCCTGCTGAAAGACCGCAACAAAAGAAGCCAGAAGACAACCTCAAGCCGGAGGGTGATTTTTACACACCTGAAAAGCCAGGCTTCCGTCCTGCAGAAAGGCCACAGCAAAAGAGGCCAGAAGATAATCTCAAACCGGAAGGTGATTTCTACAAACCAGAAAAATTACAATACAAGCCAGGAGAACGTCCAAGCCAGGTTCGACCTGAGGATAATTTGAGGCCAGAAGGTGAGTTTTATGCACCAGAAAAGCCAGGCTTCAAACCTGCAGAGAGGCCACAGCAAAAGAAACCAGAAGACAATCTCAAGCCAGAAGGTGACTTCTACACCCCAGAGAAGCCGGGATACAGGCCTGCAGAAAGACCTCAACAAAAAAGACCAGAAGACAATCTACGTCCAGAGGGTGATTTCTATGCTCCAGATAAACCCCATTACAAACCTGGTGAGAGGCCAACTCAGGTTCGTCACGAAGATAATTTACGCCCAGAAGGCGAATTTTACACACCTGAGAAGCCCGGTTACAGGCCTGCTGAAAGACCTCAACAGAAACGACCAGAAGATAATCTTCGTCCGGAAGGTGATTTCTATACACCCGAAAAACCTGGATATCGTCCAGCCGAAAGACCAGAGCAAAAGAGACCAGAAGATAATCTGAAACCTGAAGGTGATTTCTATGCTCCGGAAAAACCGAAATACAAGCCAGGCGAAAGACCTTCTCAGGTTCGTCCAGAGGATAATCTTCGCCCAGAAGGTGATTTCTATACACCAGAAAAGCCTGGATATCGTTCAGCCGAAAGGCCAGAACAAAAGCGGCCAGAGGATAATCTTAAACCTGAGGGTGATTTTTATGCACCTGAGAAGCCAAAATACAAGCCAGGTGAAAGACCGTCTCAAGTTCGTCCTGAAGACAATCTTCGTCCTGAAGGTGATTTTTATGCGCCCGAAAAACCGAAATACAAGCCGGGAGAAAGACCGTCACAAGTACGCCCCGAAGATAATCTCCGCCCTGAAGGTGATTTCTACACTCCAGAAAAACCAGGCTACCGCCCAGCCGAAAGGCCAGAACAGAAGCGACCAGAAGATAACCTCAAACCGGAAGGCGATTTCTATGCTCCGGAAAAACCTAAGTACAAACCAGGCGAAAGACCTTCTCAAGTACGTCCTGAAGACAATCTTCGTCCTGAAGGAGAATTTTACACTCCAGAGAAACCTGGTTATCGTCCAGCCGAACGTCCCGAGCAGAAACGACCAGAAGATAACCTTAAGCCTGAAGGTGATTTCTACGCTCCTGAAAAGCCAAAATACAAGCCAGGCGAAAGACCTTCACAAGTACGCCCTGAAGATAATCTTCGACCTGAAGGTGAATTTTACACTCCAGAAAAGCCCGGCTTCAAACCGGCAGAAAGGCCCGTACAAAAGAGACCTCAAGACAATCTTAAGCCCGAAGGAGAATTTACAACCCCCGAGAAACCTCAATATCGTCCAACAGAGAGAACTGAAAAGATCATCCAAAAAGATAATCTTCGCACTGAAGGTGAAATGACATTTGTGGAGAAAGAAGAATATCAGTACGTTGTTAGACCAACGCAAGTTCGTCCTGAGGATAACTTGAGGCCCGAGGGAGATTTCTACGCCCCAGAAAAGCCTGGTTATCGTCCAGCTGAGAGACCGGTGCAGAAGAAACCTGAGGATAATTTGAAGCCCGAAGGAGATTTCTATGCACCAGAGAAGCCTGGTTATCGTCCAGCTGAGAGACCGGTGCAAAAGAAACCGGAAGATAATCTGAAGCCCGAGGGTGATTTCTATACCCCAGAAAAGCCTGGTTACCGTCCAGCCGAAAGACCTGTGCAAAAGAAACCCGAAGATAATTTGAAGCCCGAGGGTGATTTCTATACTCCAGAGAAACCTGGCTACCGTCCAGCTGAACGGCCAGTTGCAAAGAGGCCAGAGGATAACTTGCGACCTGAGGGAGAGTTCACAGTCCCCGATAAACCCTCATTTAGACCAGCCGAAAAAACCGAACGTATTATCCGTAAGGATAATCTAAGGACAGAGGGTGAAATGACATTTGTAGAGAAGGAAGAATATACATATGTCAAGAGACCAGAGCAAGTGCGTCCCGAAGATAATCTCAAGCCAGAGGGTGATTTCTATACTCCAGAGAAGCCAGGCTACCGTCCTGCCGAACGTCCAGTTCAAAAGAAACCTGAAGATAATCTCAAACCTGAAGGTGATTTCTACACTCCTGAGAAGCCAGGTTACAAACCAGCCGAAAGACCTGTGCAAAAGAAACCTGAGGATAATCTGAAACCGGAAGGAGAATTTTACACACCTGAGAAGCCGGGATATAGACCAGCTGAAAGGCCAGAACAAAAGAAACCGCAGGACAACCTCAAACCAGAAGGTGAATTCACTGTTCCTGATAAGCCAACCTACAAACCTGCTGAGAAGACAGAGCGCATCATTAGGAAGGACAATTTGCGCACAGAAGGTGAAATGACCTTTGTCGAAAAGGAAGAGTACCAATATGTGCGAAGGCCAGAACAAGTACGGCCAGAGGATAATCTGAAACCAGAGGGTGACTTCTACACACCGGAGAAACCAGGCTATCGACCAGCCGAAAGGCCACAACAAAAGAAACCTGAGGACAACCTTAAACCTGAAGGTGACTTCTATGCTCCCGATAAACCTGAATATAGGCCTGCCGAAAGACCACAACAAAAGAAGCCAGAGGATAATCTCAAACCTGAAGGCGACTTCTATACTCCAGAGAAACCAGGTTACAAACCAGCTGAGAAGACTGAACGCATTATTCGAAAGGATAATTTACGCTCCGAAGGTGAGATGACATTTGTCGAAAAGGAAGAGTACACATATGTCAAGAGGCCTGAACAAATACGTCCTGAAGATAACCTTAGACCAGAGGGAGATTTCTATACACCAGATAAGCCGGGCTATAGACCTGCCGAAAGGCCCATGCAAAAGAAACCTGAGGATAATCTGAAGCCTGAAGGGGATTTCTATACGCCGGAAAAGCCTGGCTACAAACCAGCCGAAAGACCTGTTCAAAAGAAACCCGAAGACAACTTGAAACCAGAGGGCGAGTTTTACACTCCTGAGAAGCCCAAATTCATGCCAGGCGAAAGACCATCTCAAGTTCGTCCGGAAGACAATCTTCGGCCAGAGGGTGATTTTACGGTTCCAGACAAGCCTGAATACAGACCTGCCGAAAGACCCGTACAGAAGAAACCCGAGGATAATCTCAAACCAGAAGGAGACTTCTATACACCCGAGAAGCCTGGATTTAGGCCAGCAGAAAGACCGGTTCAAAAGAAACCGGAGGATAATCTCAAACCAGAAGGAGATTTCTATACTCCAGAGAAACCCAAATTCATGCCAGGAGAAAGACCATCTCAAGTTCGTCCTGAAGATAACCTCCGACCTGAAGGTGAGTTTACTGTTCCCGACAAGCCTGAATATAGACCTGCCGAAAGACCGGTTCAAAAGAAACCAGAGGATAATCTCAAACCTGAAGGTGATTTTTATACCCCAGAAAAGCCTGGTTACAGACCTGCCGAAAGGCCGGTTCAAAAGAAACCCGAGGATAATCTCAAACCAGAAGGCGACTTTTATGCGCCAGAGAAGCCAGGTTACAGACCGGCTGAGAGACCTGTTCAAAAGAAACCTGAGGATAACTTGAAGCCTGAAGGTGATTTCTATACACCGGAAAAACCCAAATTTATGCCAGGAGAAAGACCGTCCCAAGTTCGTCCTGAAGATAATCTCCGACCAGAGGGTGAATTTACCGTTCCCGATAAGCCTGAATATAGACCTGCCGAAAGACCAGTGCAGAAGAAACCTGAAGATAATCTTAAACCTGAAGGAGACTTCTACACACCAGAGAAACCCGGCTATAAACCTGCTGAGAGACCGATTCAAAAGAAACCCGAAGATAACCTTAAACCAGAAGGCGACTTTTATGCGCCAGAGAAGCCAGGTTACAGACCGGCTGAGAGACCTGTTCAAAAGAAACCTGAGGATAACTTGAAGCCTGAAGGTGATTTCTATACACCGGAGAAACCCAAATTCATGCCAGGCGAAAGACCGTCTCAAGTTCGCCCTGAAGATAATCTCCGACCAGAGGGTGATTTCACGGTACCAGATAAGCCTGAATACAGACCTGCCGAAAGGCCCGTGCAAAAGAAACCAGAGGATAATCTTAAGCCTGAAGGTGACTTCTACGTACCTGAACAGGTTAAATTTTTGCCTGGTGAAAGGCCCAGCCAGGTTCGTCCCGAAGATAATCTCAGACCTGAAGGTGAATTCTATACTCCTGAAAAACCAGGTTATCGTCCCGCTGAAAGACCCGTGCAAAAGAAACCCGAAGATAATCTCAAACCTGAGGGTGAATTCTATGCACCTGAGAAACTGGAGTTCAGGCCAGCTGAAAAGATTGAACGCATTATAAGGAAGGATAATCTGCGTACCGAAGGTGAAATGACATTTGTCGAAAAGGAAGAATACACCTACGTTAAGAGGCCGGATCAGGTTCGCCCAGAAGATAATCTGAAACCTGAAGGTGATTTCTACACTCCAGAGAAACCTGGCTACAGGCCAGCTGAGAGGCCAGTACAAAAGAAACCTGAAGACAATCTTAAACCTGAGGGTGATTTCTATACCCCAGAGAAACCTGGTTTCAAACCAGCTGAGAGACCTGTTCAAAAGAAACCTGAAGACAACCTTAAGCCAGAGGGCAGTTTCTATGTTCCAGAACAGATTAAATTTATGCCCGGCGAACGCCCATCTCAAGTTCGTCCCGAGGATAACCTAAGACCGGAAGGCGAATTTTACACACCAGAGAAACCAGGTTTCAGGCCAGCTGAAAGACCTGTACAGAAAAAACCAGAAGATAATTTGAAACCAGAGGGAGATTTCTACACACCTGAAAAACCAGGTTATCGTCCCGCTGAGAGACCTGTGCAGAAGAAACCGGAAGATAATCTTAAGCCGGAAGGTGATTTCTATGCTCCGGAGAAACCGAAATACAAGCCTGGTGAAAGACCATCACAAGTTCGTCCTGAAGATAATCTTAGACCAGAGGGCGAGTTCACCGTGCCTGATAAACCAGAATATAGGCCAGCAGAAAGACCCGTTCAGAAGAGACCTGAAGATAACCTCAAGCCTGAAGGCGATTTCTACACTCCCGAAAAGCCAGGATATCGCCCTGCTGAACGAACTGAAATTATTGTCAGGAAGGATAACCTTCGCACAGAGGGTGAAATGACATTCGTAGAAAAGGAGGAATATAAATACGTTAAGAGACCAGAACCTGTTAAGCCCGGTGACAATCTAAAACCCGAGGGTGAATTTTACACTCCAGAGAAGCCAAAATTCTTGCCCGGCGAACGACCGTCACAAGTCAGACCAGATGATAATCTCAAGCCTGAAGGTGAATTTTATACTCCAGAGAAACCCAAATTCATGCCTGGAGAGAGACCGAGTCAAGTTCGTCCTGAAGATAATCTGAAACCAGAGGGAGATTTCTTTACACCTGAGAAACCTGGCTTCAGACCAGCTGAGAGACCAGTTCAAAAGAAACCGGAAGACAATCTGAAACCTGAGGGAGATTTCTATACACCCGAAAAACCAGGTTACAAACCGGCTGAAAGACCTGTTCAGAAGAAACCCGAAGACAATCTTAAACCCGAAGGTGATTTCTATGCACCAGAGAAGCCTGGATTTAAACCCGCCGAAAGACCTGTGGCCAAGAAACCCGAGGATAATTTGAAGCCCGAGGGTGATTTCAATGTGCCAGATAAGCCAAGCTATAAACCTGCCGAAAGAGTTGAGAGAATTATTCGTAAAGACAATCTCCGCACTGAGGGTGAAATGACGTTCGTAGAGAAAGACGAATACACCTACGTTAAGAGACCAGAACAGGTGCGTCCTGAAGATAATCTCAAGCCGGAAGGCGATTTCTATACTCCCGAAAAGCCGGGTTATCGTCCAGCTGAAAGGCCAGTACAGAAGAAGCCTGAGGATAATTTGAAACCCGAAGGTGATTTCTATGCTCCCGAAAAGCCGGGCTATCGTCCAGCCGAGAGACCAGTTCAGAAGAAACCGGAAGACAATCTCAAACCAGAAGGTGATTTCTATTCCCCTGAAAAGCCCAAATTCCGACCTGGCGAAAGACCTAGTCAGATTCGTCATGAAGACAATCTGAAGCCAGAAGGTGATTTTTACGCCCCAGAAAAGCCGGGTTATCGTCCTGCCGAAAGACCAGTTCAAAAGAAACCGGAGGATAATTTGAAACCCGAAGGTGATTTCTATGCTCCAGAAAAACCAGGATATCGTCCAGCTGAAAGGCCGGTCCAAAAGAAACCTGAAGACAATCTCAAACCCGAAGGCGATTTCTATACTCCTGAGAAGCCTGGTTATAAGCCCGCCGAAAGACCTGTTCAGAAGAAACCTGAAGATAATCTCAAGACAGAAGGTGATTTCTATACTCCTGAAAAGCCTGGTTATAAACCTGCTGAAAGACCAGTACAAAAGAAACCTGAAGATAACTTAAAACCCGAGGGTGAATTTTATACTCCCGAAAAACCAGGCTATAAACCGGCCGAAAGAACTCAAAAGGTCATTCGCAAGGATAATTTGCGCACCGAGGGTGAAATGACATTTGTCGAAAAGGAAGAATACAAATATGTCAAACGTCCCGAACCAGTTAAGCAAACGGACAATCTGAAGCCAGAGGGTGAATTCTATGCACCGGAAAAACCAAAATTCCGTCCTGGCGAAAGGCCATCACAGGTACGTCCTGAGGATAATTTAAAACCGGAGGGAGAATTTTATTCCCCCGAAAAACCCGGTTTCAAACCCGCCGAAAAGGTAATACCAAAGAAACCCAAGGACAATTTGAAAACCGAAGGTGACTTTGTGCGTCCCGAGAAGACCCAATTCAAACCGGCTGAGAAAACCGAACGCATTGTACGAAAGGATAATTTACGCACTGAAGGTGAAATGACCTTTGTTGAGAAGGAGGAGTACAAGTATGTTAAGAGACCTCAACCTGTAAGGCCCGAGGACAATTTGAAACCTGAGGGTGACTTCTACACTCCCGACAAGCCCGGATACAAACCAGCCGAGAGACCAGTACAAAAGAAACCTGAAGACAATTTGAAACCGGAGGGTGACTTCTACACTCCCGACAAGCCCGGTTACAAACCAGCCGAGAGACCCGTGCAAAAGAAACCTGAGGATAATCTCAAGACCGAGGGCGACTTCTATACTCCCGAAAAGCCTGGTTTTAGACCCGCCGAGAAGCCGGTGGTTAAGAAACCCAAAGACAATCTAAAGCCTGAAGGCGATTTCTATACACCTGAAAAGCCAGGTTATAAGCCGGGCGAAAGAACTCAGAAAATTGTGCGCAAGGATAATCTACGCACGGAGGGTGAAATGACATTTGTGGAAAAGGAGGTATACAAACATGTTAAACGTCCAGAGCCTGTTAAGTTCAAGGATAATCTGAAGCCAGAAGGAGAGTTTTATGCACCCGAGAAACCGGGTTTCAAGCCTGCCGAGAGACCGGTGCAAAAGAAACCTCAGGACAATTTGAAACCTGAGGGAGAATTTACGGTACCCGATAAGCCTGGATACAAACCCGCCGAAAGGACCACCAAGGTCATACGTAAGGATAACTTACGTACAGAAGGTGAAATGACATTTGTGGAGAAAACCAAATATGTAGCTGGCGACAGGCCCAAACAGGTGCGCCATGAAGATAATCTCAAGCCAGAAGGCGAGTTCTATACTCCAGAGAAGCAGGGCTTTAAACCTGGCGAAAGACCAGTTGCCAAGAAGCCTTCGGATAATCTCAAACCGGAGGGAGAATTCTATACTCCCGAGAAGCCTGGCTTTAAGCCTGGTGAGAGACCTGTGGCCAAGAAACCGGTAGATAATTTGAAACCGGAGGGAGAATTTGTGACCCCCGAAAAACCAGGCTTCAAACCGGCTGAAAGGGTGCAACGTGTTGTGCGCAAAGATAATTTACGTACCGAGGGTGAAATGACCTTCGAACAAAAGAACACCTATCAATATGTCAAGAGGCCAACACCAATTAAGCCCAGCGATAATCTCAAACCTGAAGGAGAGTTCTATAAGAAAGAAAAGGATGCCGGTCCTAGAGATGTTGTGGACCGTGTAACACCCAAGAGGCCGGTGGATAATCTCAAAATGGAGGGAACCATGGAAATTACCCGCAAAAACCAAACTAAGACCGATCACACGGCAACCACGGTACGCCAAACTACAAAGAAGGTAGTCCACAACAGCTCCTCGATTAGTTTGGGTTCAGACACGTCCATTCTGAAGACCACAAATCAGATGAGTTATGCCTCGAGTAAAAACGCTGTACCCGTGGCCGATTTGAATACTCAAAAACCGGCTGATGGCATGGTGATAGTCTCCACTAAGCGGGTGACCACCGTTATTGGCAGCAAAAACAAAAAGGAACCCGAAACTCAATATGTTCGTCGCCAGGGCAAGGTCAATGTCATTGAAAATGTCGAGAAATCCACCAAGGTGAAGAATGTTAAAAACGTGGAAAATGTCTACAATGAAGACGTATCGATGACCCAGAATCGTGTGAGTACCGCCAAGAAGAGCATCCAGCAACATGACGTGAACGATGTTAGCAGCACAAATGTTGTTAACAGAAAGGTTATGCAGAGTGACGTTAACAGTCACGAACAACATAATCACCATCACCACCACCACCATCATCATCATGATGCCAGTGGTAATCATACCCATGTCCATAAGAATATTGTGCATCACGAAACTTGCCCGGTGGTCCAAAGGAATTTGCTCCACACCACCAGCGGTGGCAGCAGTAGTGATACCAAACATGTGATCACCACTGATGGCAGCAGCGTTACTCAAAATGGAGTGAGTGGCACTACCATAATTAAGGGTGGTGGAAGTCGTACAGTAACCTCTACGGTTACTCAGCACACCGACAAGGAATCCACATGCCTGGCCAGCAAAATGACATCTTCCAGTAATAAAATCCACTCGGAGGGATCAACAACGACCACACGTCGGGTTACCAATGTTAATCAACGTAATGGCAATGGCTCTGATATGAAGAGCCTGATAAGTGGTGGAGGTGGTGGAAGTGATACATATAATGTCACCACCAAAATTACCAGAAATGGTGGCACTGCAGAAAATGGTCATCTGGTCCAATCGTCGTCAAAATCCAATATCAGTTCCAACATCACCGAAAGCACCAATGCCAACACATCGTCCACCAGCATGTCGACAAGTAAACAATTCCATCACCGTAAGACCGAGTTCTCTTCCGAATCGAATGTGGCCAATACGATTTTGCAACGTAAGTCGACTCCCACAGAATCGCAGCAATTTGGTAGCCTCTCCTCCAATGCCAAAATTCATCGTAAGAGCATCATGAATCTAAATGAACAGCCATCGAGTTCATGGTTCCCCAGTGAAAGACAAAGCTACAGCAGCCTGCATCGTCAGAAGTTAGAATCTGAGGGTGGCAACAGTTCATGTGCCGTCCACAATGCCTCGGAGCGTCGTAGTCACACTGCCATACACCGTGAAACAAAGGAGTTGCAACAGAGCAACAAGACGGCCTCCTCGAACGCACATCATACCCATCATCAGCATCACACAACAACAAGTGCTGTCGATTTTCCCTCGTATCGGACCAGTGAACGTGTTGTGACACGTCATCGTGGCAATCAATCGACATTCTCATTGGGTGATTCCGGATCATCGTCCTCCGTTTCCAGTAATTATAAAATGGAATATAAAACAGTTCCAGTCACAACCTGTACTGTGCATAAAATAACACAAGGTGCATTCCAACAATCTAGGGATACTACTCAAGAGCATAAATTTTTCAAAACTACCAAGTAACAGCAATAACAACAACAACAACAACCACTAATGATAATAATCTGTAATTATATAAGCATGTAACATAATCTAAAAAAGAAACAATAATAATGAAAAAGTATACATTATATAGATATTTAGGATCCGTTTAACCCTTAAACCGGTAAAAGAGGGAAAAACGATTTAAAAAGAAATTTAATTAAAGACAAAAATATGTTTGATATTTTGTAAAAAACAAATCTTAATTTATATTCAATTCCCACAAAGGAAATCCCAGGATCGTCCCTCTCTATTGCCATAGTGATTTAAGGGTTAATCATTTACATTTATTTTGTATTTCCGTTTGAAATTTCTCTCTCATATTTTTGCCGCCAAAAAGAATATGAGTCATTCCAATAACAAATTCAATTATATATTGATATGAAGCCAATACAATCCGTTTTTATTTTTTATTACTTGTTACATATATTTTTTTTGTATTTACATCACAACAAACATTACTGAGTTTATAACATTGTTTTTATCCCTGGGTTTTACTTTTTATTTTATTTTATTCTTTTTTGTTTTTAATGTTGTATCTATTATTCCACAATATTATTACTAATCGACCAAGCGCATAATAAAACTACATTTTTTAATATACGTATATATATATATTTACTACATACATATATTTTTATACATTCAAACAAATTATGTATTAATTATAATGAACAAAAACCACTGCTCGAAAATAAATAACAATAACCTTTTTTTTGAAATGTGAAAATAAAATTGAAAACGAAGTGTTTTTTCTTTCGACGACGTTTGGTGACATAAAAAAATATTTACAGAAAAACTCGACAGATTATGAAAGAATAGCTAAAAATAGAAGACATGGGTATCAGTTTGTTTGAAAGTTTACATTGCAAAGTAACCTTAATGGAGGCAATTTCCCACCTTTTCCACATTTAATTTTTGGATTTTGATTCTTTGGAATCCGTTCATTTTAGTTATATAGTGGAGGATACTGATATCATGGTTATTTTGTTGAAAATTTGTAACCATCAAGCAGGTCACCAAAGGGGCCTTTTTGGTTATTTTTTAAATATGGTTCAAAACTCCCTATTAAATCAAGTATTCTACAAAATTCCGCGTTGCCGGTCCGTACTTTTAGTCTTTAATGCCTATTTTTTAAAGCATAATAAATCAAAAAATGTGACGCGTACATAAGTCAGATCATATACGCGTCACATTTTTTCTTTTATTAATGACTCCATCGTAATTTCTAAATAAAAATTAATATTTATGGCAATAATTATAATAGATTTTCACCTACCCCCGGTTTTAGATATTTTGAATAACCTGATTTTATTTTTCAGCAACGGGCTGTAATTTGAGTGTTACAAACCTATATGATATAGAACATCTAAAACACAGTCTGAGATAAAAAAAAAATTGCAACAAAGTTAAAAGCCATAATTTTTACATTTTTTGTTATTGAATGAAAGCAAAAACTGTTGGAAATAGCATCAAATTTTTAGAATAAGTTTAGATTTGTTCGAATTGGTCACCTTTGGCACGAATTATGGCCTTTAAACGGCCAACGCTGCCCGAATATTGATCTGCGGTATTTTGGCCCAATCCCGGCGAAACGCTTGCTTGAGGTGATCGACACTTTGGTATTTTTTAGTGCCAACCTTGCTTTCCAAAATACTCCAGACACAATAGTCCAATGGAGTGGTATTCGGAGATTTTGGTGGCCATTGTGTGCTGGATATAAAGCGCGGAACCTCATTTTGTAACCATTCTTGGGTGGCGCGTGCTGAGTGTGATTGTGTTGAGTCCTGTTGAAATGTCCAAGGTCTACGGCCCAAATATTTGCATGCCCAAGGCTTTAATACACCCTCCTTCTGGAGGGTCCCGTGCTCAAGGCTTTAATACACCCTAGAGAATATTTTCCCGATAAATTTTGGCATTTATTTTGATGCCACGGTCGCATTTATTTTGATGCCACAGTCGAACATCGGCTGTTATGGCGGCCAAAATACCGCCAAAATACCGCAGAGCAACATTCGGGCAGCGTGTGATGGTCTCATTGGTCGTTTGAAGCCCATAATTCGTGCTAAAGGTTACCAATTCGAACAAATCTAAACTTATTATAAAGTTTGATGCTATTTCCGACATTGTTTGCTTTCATTCAATAAATTTTTTTTAAAAAATGTAAAAATTATGGCGTTTGATTTTGTTGCAGTTTTTTTTCTCACTCTATATTAACCACCAATACCAACGGTGACATCTATATCAAATTTCAGAATTTTATCTCTATACCATTACCCACTACCAAATATAGTATAATTTAGTACTCTTCGTACAATTATGGTACTCATTTCCAAAACCACCTCTTTATCGCAAATCTATCAACATTTCAATTTACCAGCTTCTGTCGCTCACCCAAAACACAAATGTATCCAATTTAGTACCATTTAGTACTGTTTTTACACTTAATACACATTTCCGAAACCACCTAACCATGAATTAGAATTCCCAAAACACCTTAGTTTATCTATCCTACACAACATCAAAGACTCTCTCTCTCTCCGAATTTCAGATTTCCAGCTCTATTTCAATTTCGCCAAATACCAAATATTTGAATATTTTTGATAGTTTTTAGTACTTATTTCCAAAACGTTGACCTTAAAGCCAAATTTTAGAATTCCAACTCAATCCCTTACCCAAATACCACATTTAGTACTTTTAGTACGTATTTCCAAGACCACCTCATGCCAAATTTCAGATTTAAAGCTGTATCCGTTGAATATAATAATATAATACCAAATTAAGTACCTTTCGTTCGCTTGATGAACACATTTCAAAACCAAACTCTTTATCTAAACCCTACCCACCAGCAAATACCCCAATACTAACATTTTGAATTTCCAGATAAATCCACATACAAAGCTACCCCAATATTTTGAGACATATTTCGAAACATTTAATATGAGGCTTAGAACATTTATGGAGAGCTTTGGGTTACTTCAAGAATCGTTGGTTTAAAAATTTTTGGTATAGTCCTCTTGAAAGGGCAAACCCCGATTTTTAAGTATTTTTTATTCTTTAGTCAATTTCAAGAAATTTTATTTGAAATTCCGTTGTTTTTTTATTATCGGTTAGCAGAGGCTACTGTTGGTCAAATACGAAACTTTGTGGTCTATTAACTTCAGCATATTTTAAAAATAGTCTATTTTCTGGAATTCAAATTTCACAACTTCAAATCTGATTTCTAAACTTATTTTGAATTTTAATGAAAAATATCTGAATTTTTTTGAAATTTTTAATATCAAATTCTAAGCATCAATTAGATTTTTCTAATTTAAATCGGAGTATCAGAATTTTAATTTCAATATTGTGAATTCCAAATAGTATTTCTGTATTTTGAAATGACGTTGCTGAATATCAAACACAATTTGATAATTTAAAATAAAAATGTGAATTTTAAGTAGAATTTGTAAATTTCAGTTAAAGTATCTATATTTCAAATGGAAAATCTGCATAACAATTGGGCTTTGATAGTTGCTGATATTGTGTAGCCTTTTTGTTTGGTAGACTAAGATGGATTCTTCAGTAGAACGTATGACACTCGCCTGTTTTAAAATTAAAGCATATCTTTGGGCGGTACATTATAGCTTTAATCTTATGTTTACTTCAAAACAATATTAAGCAAAAGTTAGGACATTTTTTATACCCTCCAATATAGTATGGAGGGTATATTTTGTTTGTCATTCCGTTTGTAACATGTCGAAGTATACATTTTAGACCTCACAAAGTATATATATATTCTTGATCAGCATACAATTCTATGTCCGTCCGTCTATCCGTCTGTGGAAATCACTGTATCTACCGAACGAAATGAAGTAGGTTAGTAAAATTTTACTCACATGTATATTATTTCTGCAGGACTTTTGGTATTGGAAATGGGCCTTGTAGGTCCACGTTTTGGTATAGCCCCCATATAATGGTACCTCCCGATATTCGGTACTTTGATGATTTTAGCCACATTATTCACCGGAATTGTTTCAAATTTGGTATTTGAAGTTCGCAACAAATACTACAGCCTATGACAGAAGATTATCTGTGCAGGTCCACATGTTCTTATATGCCCCATATAACTGTACCTTCCAAAATTCGGTATTTTTATAAGTTTAGCGACATTATTCACCGGAATTGTTTCAAATTCGGTATTCGAAGTTCGCAATTGATATTACAGCCTATGGCAGAAAATTATCTGTGCAGGTCCACGTTTTGGCACAGCTACATTATACACCGATTTTTTTCAAGTTTCGCATTTGAATATTGTAATGGCTTATGACATATGTTACCTATGCAGGTTCATGTCGTCGTATATACCCTAATATAACGGCTAGAATTTTTAACGGATCTTATTTTTTTGAAAATTTGTAAATGAGAAAGGTATTTAAAGTTTGAAGCTGGAATTTTGAAATTTCGTCATGGGGTCCCTGTTGGTGGTATGTTTGTGATAAAAAGAAGGTGGTTTCGGAAATGTGTATTAGCCATGTGTAGCCTTGACATACGAAGGTGGTTTTGGAAAAGTGTATTATAATTGTACAGAAAGTACTGAATGGTACTAAAGTTGGTCTTGGTTAAAGGGATAGAGATAAAATGCGGAAATTTGATGTTAGGATAACTGTTGGTATGTATATGCACACAGATTGATCCTCGTGTAAGCTTTCAAGACTCTAGCTCAGCCGTTTCGGTAAGAAATTTAGCTTTAATAGTCAAATTACCAAAGGTATCGTAGAACCTGTTACAAACTCTAAATGGTAAATTCGTTCAGAAGATAGCGTGATTACAACACTGATATAGATGAACTAAATCGACTTAGAACTTTACGCTGATCAGAAATATAAATACCTTTTAGGGTTTAACAAGAGTATTTCGATGAGTTACGAACAGAATGAGAAATTTAATAGATCGTATAGTGGAGGGTAAAACAAGTAACAAGTAAAAAAGCAGTAAGTTCGGCCGGGCCAAACTTTGAATACCCTCCACCATTTGGAACGAATTAGAAAATGTAAAAAAAAAAATAAAATAAAATCCATTAAAAAATCTTTTAAAATCGTTAAAATATCTAATATATCTTTAAAATATCTATCCCCCCCAGTATATGGGGGATATCTGA